ACTACTTTTTGCCATGGTCTTGTATGATAGCTGCTTCTTCTTGGAGTCCCACCAATATTTAGTGGATAATCTAGTGCTGAGGTTGTGTGTTATGCAAATACCAAAAACTACATCAAGTATTCTGAAAATTAACTCAAAGAGATTCATTTTATCTGAAACCAAACCAGCTCAGGTTGGTACTAAACTAGCTCAATTAACTTTTTCATCAGATTTATCAAAAAATACCTGACCACTAAACACACAATAGCATAACAAATGCAACCTATGAAAAGGAACTGAAGACCAGCAGAGCACATCCATGAACACTAACTAGCAGTCATGACAAAACTCCTTAATCTCAGAATGACCTGGGCAGACTCAATTGTACTGTAGTTTCAACTGGAAAACTGTGAGCATCCTAGACTAAGCTAAATACAAAAATGCTATGCAATTCCTGGAAGCTTACGATTCAGAGAAATCTTCCCCTACAAGACACATAGAGGTAAACTCCATGGTCACATCATTCAGAACAGATTGTTTTAAAAAGTTAAAAAGGAAACAGACCAGAATACAGTCTCTCCAGCAGTCTATACCCAGGTAAATAGGGATTAACAAACAATCTAGCAGAAAACAATACCCTAATCAAGGATTACTCAGGAAAAATAACACATGCCATACATATATCCATCCCAATACTAGCCAGGCAAGGAATAGGGTACAAACCTTACACTCACTAGGACTGATAGTGTTACCTAGTCTAGCAATGAAATTATCTTCTTTTAGAAGTTTAGTTAGCCCAGTTCATAGATGTGTCGATGAGATGCCTAACTAGGCTGCAGCACTGACTTTGGTTAATCTCAGAAAGCTAGCCAGAGTCAAATTTAGTTGAACTGTTGATGGAAGTTTCCAGAAAAGCCTGGGACTGGTGATTAGATTAAGACAATGAAGAAACACCCAAGTAGGTGTTACAATTAAACTCTACACTATCATTGCCAAGAAAACAGCATCAACATGCCTGAGTAATCATGGACTTTATTTGAATGTAGAAATTTTACTACCTTTCCCATCCTATAAAAATTTAGGATGATAACTTTGGTCAGGTTTTTCTTCTCTCATTTTAGGAAAAAAATATCTTCAGTCCAGACTATATTTAAGCCACTGCAGCCCATTTTTGACATTGTCTACAAAATGTGGGAGTTATCAGGAAATAGAGCCACAAAACAACCAATCAGCTAAGAACTTAACATCCTTTTCTTTAATTTTTTGCTCCCCGTAGTACTTCTGAAAATACTTTGCTGCAAGAAATTACAAAAAGGCAGTGGCAAACTGCTTCCATAATGCTACCATATCCAAAATATCATCAGAAGTACAACTCAACTCAAAGGATACTTGATTTTTGAAGACTTTGATTAGTGGTTTCAATAAACTAGATCTTATATTAATGTTTGTGTTTGTGCATAAGTATATCAATCTTGGTTGCATTTGAAAAGCTTACCAGAACCTCGTTGGTTCATGGATGGGAAACCTGGAGGTAACACTAGAGCTTTTGGTAGGAGGGAAGTTGAAAAAACATTGAGAAAGAAGACGCTGGCAATCTATTTCCTTATTGCTGCCAAGAAATTGCATGAATGCATCCATGGGATGCCCAGATAAATGGCCAAAGTTCAGTAGGTCTAGAGAGGACAATGTCCTAAAATATTTAGGTTGGCTTCTTGCCATCATGATCTTTGATTCTCATAACCTCCAGCAAACTTTAAGGATAATCAAATCAAGCTTGTAGAAAATCTCACTGATCTGGTTCAAATGATAGGAAATTTGCCTCAGGGAAAACAGGTTGCATGGTTTGCAAACAGAAACAAATTATGTAGAAGGAGTGCTGATGCATGCTTGTGTCACAAGATAAAAGGATGCTCTTAAATTCATGAAAATTCAGCCTTTTGAATAATCCACAAGCTGAACTACAGATGACCTTAATTGTGCAGTTCTCTTCTTCAGTGTCATGTTTTCTCTCTGGAAACTCACAATGGGGTATTAAGACTTGGATTGTGACCCACAGGCAATGGGAAGGCATTAACTACTTGCTTCAGTCCTCATTCCAATTATTTAATTGTATCGGCAGCACCTCTTCTGTTTTAACTGGGTTCAAATGCTAAACAGAGTTGAGTTTAAGTGTTCTCTCCCTGGAAACTGACAACCCTTGCGTGAGGGGCCAGCAAAGTTTCATTAGGAAGTTCCTCCACCCCAAAATAAAAATGCTACTGCAAAGATAACATTGGTATGTTAATGAAATCACCAAGATTCAACCTTAATTTGAAGGATAATTTTAGGAAAAAGTATTAAGCTTTAAACTTTCAATCCACACTGAAGAACTGCCCATCCGTCCCTTCCCTCTCCCTTCCACCAAGAGAGAGAAATATACAGCTACCTCAACAATGCTGAATGAAAACCCTTCTCCTCATCTTTGTTTTAGGGACAGAATATTTGTTACTTTATTTTTAAGATGAGCAATTTCATCTCCCTTTGAGATATTACTCTGCTGGTCTAATACATAGAAAATCATATAACTATTTTAATTTCAATTTTAATATAATAGAGTTATGCAATGCTTTAGATTTGATTTCAAAACTTAAGCATGCATGTAATTATTTTATTAAATGTCTTAGTCTGTTTAATTCTACAATGACTCTGGGCAGTGTACTATAAACCAATCCTAAATTACATTGAAATCCCCAAGCATCTAGATGATAAAACCTTCTAAAGCAATAAAATATACATGATCATCATTTTTTTCTAGTTTTCAGGACTCTTTTATTTACACTGAGGAGGAAGTAGGAGATCTCAAGAGGATGTCCCTAGTGCCACAACAGAGAAGGTGTGTACATCATCAACCATATTTTATGTGAGCAAATGTATGCGGAGCAAAATTAAAGTCCTGAAGTTGTTCAAGATTTCAAAGCATACAGCATGTTTTTCAAAGTCCAGACAGAATGACTGCATAGTATTCTGAATTTGAAGGCAAAACAAATGGGGATGTGACTTTCTGAAAGATATTTGGGAACCGTGGTAATTACATTAAAAAAGGGAGTTTGCATCACAGAAATTAACATTTTTAAAGTTTTCATCCCTGTCAAATCTGTGTTTCAGAAATCAAAATCAAGATGATATGTTTTGGAAGAAATTATTGGGCAATTCAATTAAAAACACAGTAGATTAAGATATTACCAAACTTTCATTTGTTGGACGTGTCAACGTTTGGTTATAACATTTTCTATATTTGTTTTAAATCCATAGAAAAATGGAGAATTAGTATATTATACTGCTAAAGAAGACTTGAAAGTAGGCAAGATTAACAAGTTGCATAGCCCTGAATGGAATTAATTAGGCTTTGAACTGAAATAATGTTTCTTTAAAGGACACCTACGATTTTACTGGGGGGACAAACAGCTATGTTTATATGTCATTAACTACAGAAGAGCTACAATTTAATGATCAAGGGCAAAATTTTCAGGGAAGTGCTAACATAAATTTCTGTCTTTTTCAGTTAAAATATTTTGTATAGGCAAGACCTTATGTTGATAAAAAATATGATTGCAGAAATTTAATGATCAGTCTCCAGAACCTCAATTAGTTGACAAATTCTAGGAGGTGAGAGTACATAATTAAAGGGAAAAAAAAGTAAGCCAAGTTGTATTTCTTTGTAACAAGCCTGTATAAAACATCCCACAAGAGATCTTGCATTGTTCTCTCTAGTCTTCAGCAGGAAAGGCCTCTTAAATAGTTATCTTTCACTGTTTAATTACCCCACTTGTAAGTTTATTGTGCCTTGCTTTCTTTTAAAAAAAATAAATTTTATTAAGTTTCCAAATTTTAAAAACATAAAATAAAACTTTATACATTGTTATCAACATTGCGCCTTGCTTTCATTTTACTAAGCAAACATAGTAGCGGAAGCAAACACAAAAGCTACTCTGGTTATATTTAAAGTTATAGTCAATAAAAAAACCTCTCACTTTTTAGATGCCTTTGAACACCCCTCATATATGACATGTGCTAGCAATATATTTTCTTTTCTTGTTCTTACCATCTACCCATCCATGAAAGTAATTTTCGTGTAATGATAAGTAGAAGCTGGCATCCCTCTGAAACAGGTACAGCTTTGTGGAAACCGAGTCACTCATGTGAAATGTGCCTTTATAACACTGGAGAGTTTAGCTTTAGTAATTACAATTATATTCTGCCTTTATTCCAATATGACACCTGTCATCTTTTTCCTCCTTCTCTTTTATGATGCTACGTGTACTATAGGTTGTACTCTTAACTCTCACACCAGGTGTTTCCCTAGCAAAGCAGAAAGTAGCATGGGAAATATGGAACCTACTAGATGCTGCAATCTTCAGGTGTGTTGGATTCCAGCTCTCAGCATCACTAATCCTTTTAGCCATGGGACTAATGGGACAGGAAGTCTAACATATTTAGAGGGTATCAGAGAAACAATGCAATCTACTGCAATGAACCCATCTCTCTTAAAGATACTCCTTGTCTTACAACCATTCATTTAGTGACCATTCTAAGATATGACACTGCTGAAAAAAGTGACTTATGACAGGTCCTCACATGCATGGTTGTTGCAATGTCTTTGTACTCAGATGATCAAAATTTAAGCCCTTGGCAACTAGTATACATTTATGATGGTTGCAGTGTCCCAGATTCACATGATCACCATTTGCAACTCCCAGCCAGCTTCTGACAAGCAAAATTAATGGGAGAAGCCAAATCCAGTTAATGAGCACATGCTTTACTTAACAATCATGGCAAAAAAGGTCATAAAATCAACCGTGACTCCCTTAACTTGCTTAAGCAATGGAAGTTCCAAGCCCAAGTGTGAACGTAAGTTGAGAACTTCTCGTATTGTCCTTCATCATTACAAAGAGCTATAACTTTTTCTTGTCAAGAGATTTCTGGGTAAAGTATTTGTGAGTTGTGTTTGTCCAATAAGGAATCAATGCAGAAATTTTATTTACCTTCATAGGTTGCTTTGAACCCTAGTAGGTTCCTCACACTATCAGTCTGGAAGAGGAGCCACATCTGATGTTGAGTGCTGACAATCAAATCAGGGACAGTTGTGCCTGTTAAACTGTCAAGAAAGAAAAGAAACTAAAGCAGCAGCAGCAGGTATCTGAAGGTGGAAGAAACAGCTCTTCTCAAAGAGAACACATTAAGAGAAGTAAATGCAACATTACTAAAAGGATTAAGAAAGAGAGGAAAGGCTTTTGCTGGGTTCACTTCTTTGCCAAATGCTTGGAACAAAAATTAGTATTGATTTCTCTAAGGCTATCTCTACTATTAGGTAGATAGTGGTGGCCATTTTACATAGCAGATGCTGAGCTCATGGGGAATGGATTTTGGAGGACCGAATTCTGCATGTTCCCCTCACATCACATTAATTTGCAAGTCTCCAGACATGGCAGAAAATGCTATTGTATCACCTTAAATTGACTTACATGATAGATATGGAATAGAAGAATACATTCTTGTACTCAACACAGCCCTGACACTTCATCTCAAGTCAAGCAATACGATAACCATCATGATAACACAATAAAACCTGTTGCATTTTTGTTACATCTTCTTGATTTCTCTCATGCTGTCCCATACTTTGATAAATGGATGCATATTTCTAATGTACTTAGATTTCCAAAATGAAGTAACAATTTGGGTCTTCCTACACCCATAATCCAATGCAATAGTTTCAATGTTCCACAATAGAATATAAGAACCAAAGATGAACTTTGTAGATCTTCGGATGAATGTAGATGAACATGGTGATGCAAACAAGTCCCACAAGTAAAATTAAAAAACAAACACAAAGTATATCAAATAAGATTATCTGAAGAAATTTTCACCTTGCCTGGTCAACAGTACACACCAACTATAGAAATTCCAACGCATATACAACACACTGACACCAACACTAGAAATAACAACCTGATGCCTGAGACTTCCTTGATCAGTGTCATTCTATATTTTGTACTTATAACTCAAGAATGATCTGATATGACCATATTTGACAGTAAGGAAACAGTAATGAAAGTGTCAAAGCCTTAATTGAAAGTCCCAGATCAAAGGATCATCATTTAATCCATTGCTCTGAGGCTGATTTTGTTATAGACCAATTCATTCCAAAATAACTCAGCAACATTTCTATCAGAGTGAGCAAATTTGAGGTTTGTGGGATTGTTTCCCCCTCCCCCCTTTGTTTTTATAACAGCATCACATTAGATGCCCAGTTGCAGCTTTAGTAGGTCTCTCTGTATATACCGCAGCACGTTTCTTGTTTTCCATAGTAAAGTGTTCTCAAAATGTGCTTCTTGTGTTGTGTATGACAAAGAGGGATGTTTTAATTCTTGCCTTTGCTAAATAGATTACCCTTAATTATCTACTATAATCTCTAGCAATCGACCATTAAATTCTGTCCTATTGCCCCAATTTTCTTTTTAAAATAGTTTTTATTAAAAGATTTTACATGTTTAATAAGACACACCCTAAAAGAAAAATATATAGTAAATGAAAAAAGGAGGGGAAAAAGAAAGAAAAAGATGATACAGAGAAAAAGAAGATGGAAAAAAGGAAAGGAAAAAAATAGAAAACATGAAAGGAAACTAACAGCAATGGCTATGATGGAAGACAATATTTGTAGCTCAGGGCTTAATTGTGGGGTCCTTGGTGCTCTCTGAACTTGGTTGTTTTCTTACACACATTTCATTACTTGGTTAGGTAACATCATCAATACTAAAGGAAGTGGGGTTTGCACTCATTTTATATGTTGTTGTTGGTTCTTTGATTTAGGCTGTGGTTACTGTTAGCTTGTTTGCCTGGGCTGGTAGCTCCTGGACTAGTATTATACCAATTGTTGGTCTAGTATTAGACTTGGCATTAATCTCTGCTTATCTGGGTATTGTTTGCTGTTGGGGAAGTATTTTGATCTTTTTGTTTCCTTTTTGGCTTTTTTCCATTACTTAGTTCTTTAATGAAACAACTACATGAAAACAAGCAAGCTCAAACAGCACCACAGATCCCACAAAAGGAACGGCTTCTGGCTTTCCTCTTAACAGCCATACCTACAATTTTACGCAGTCCTCTCTTTAAGATTACATTATAATTTCCTTCTTTCTGTAACCAATTCTTTCTAATCATCGAACCATAAATCACAAGGTCTCTCAGTTTCCAGTAAGCAGCAAAAGATAAAGTTCACTGCCCTAGAAAGATTCCCAAAGAAAGTTCATCTGCCTAATCAATATTCATTATAGATGAACACAGAGATAAACAGATATGCGTTCATGAGCATACACACACACACACACACAAATACACACACACCAGATTTATATGGAACCAGATCTGAACATCTCATCTCATTAAATTTTCTTTTTTGTCTACTGCATGTTTTATATGAATCTAATTTCCATTCCTATTTTAACATTTAAATAAATCATTTTGTTAATATAAGATTGCACTTTAGTTATCATTTATTATAATTTTTCAACTGTTGTTTTTTTTATAACTGGTTAATGTACAGTGGATTGCAAGTCCCATCCTCTTCAGAATGAGGATAAAAAAACAAAGCCCATGTAATTTAATAAGAAAATTTGTAGCAGATGTATCTCAAACCAAGATTATGATAAACATTTACATATCGTTTTTGAACACCCTTGCTGAAATCTCCAGACAAAAGTTTTTAAGTGGCTTGAAATCTGTTATTCTGTCCAGTGAAAAAGAAGGACTAGGGGCAACAGTGTCCCAATATTTAAGGGGCTGCCACAAAGAAGAAGAGTCAATCTATTTTCCAAAGCACCAGAAGGCAAAATAAGAAACAAGGGGTCGAAACTAATCAAAGAGAGAAGCAACCTTAAGAAGTTGTGGATGCCCCATTGCTGGAGGCTTTTAAGAAGAGACTGGACAGCCACTTGTCTGAAACGGTATCAGGCACTGGTGGGATTCAAAAAATTTTACTATTGGTTCTGTGGCCATGGCTTGGTAGGCGTGGCAGGGGAAGGATACTGTAAAATCTCCAGTCAGAGGTGGGATTTGCAGGTTCTCTGAACTACTCAAAATTTCCTCTACTGGTTCTCCAGAACTGGTCAGAACCTGCTGAATACCACCTCTGGTATTGGGTATCTTGTTTGAGCAGGAGGTTGGACTAGAAGACCTCCAAGGCCCCTTCCAATTTGGTTATTCTGTTAAATCAGTCACTATCAGTCATTATAAACATAACTGCTCATCCTGAATTTTTCTGACTGGTTCTGTCTGATGGAAACTTTGGGGGATGTTGTTTGGAAGTTGTTTGGCTACTAATCATTTGCACTGTCCCAAATATCTCTTTAAAGCATAGACTAATGGAATATTTTAAAAAGTACTTGAATATGGCACTCGGAAATCCTTAAACTGATTTATACAGAGATCAGCTCTCATAAATGCCTTTTTTTCTGTTGCAAGAATGGAATTGAGAAGAGTGAAAGCTAGAAGTTCATTCTATCTTTATTCTATTGTTCTCCAATGAAACACAAAAGGGGTACAATCCTCTCTAATCCAGATATGGGAACTTTGCTCCAGCCTGTGTAATAGATAGTCCTTGCAACAGAAAAGGTCATTTGTGAGATCACCACTTTTTTTTTGCAAGGACCAGTCTCCACAAAAACCAACACAACTTGGTCTTCTCTCTTCACAGGATTTGGTACTTGTTGATCATAAGTGTGGAAGGGACAGCTTCCTTATTGATTTCAGCTACATCAAAATGGTTTTGGAGAGAAGCCATATGCTTCCATACAACCTGATAGGAATCACTGTGAATTTTTATGGATTAATAGAAATAAATGCCACAAACATACATTCATTTGCTTCTCAAAACAATCTTGGATAAGTGAAGAGCATCAGGGTTTGATAGGCAGCTTTTCTCACTTAGATCAAAGAATATTATGACACTTTTAAAAATTAGGTCCAAAATACAATCTGTGAACTCAAAGTGAAGGCCAGAACTTCACTGGACTTTTTCACTGCATCCTTGTTCTTTGTTTTGATTGGAAACTGCCATTTCTTTATTGAATTAATTTTTTTATTAAACAAAAAGAAAATATTTAAAAACATAAACTGCCATTTCTTAATTTTATATAATTGTCCCCATTTCTTGGGCAATTTAGAACGTTCTACCAAAGAAGAATGGCCAAATGTTTTAGGAGATAAACATTTAGGTACACAAGAACTTGGTGTTTCAGAATCCAAGTGTACAATACTGGGATTTAGAATCACATTTTTAAATGCTTCCTCCAATAGAAAAAACTCAAAACAAATGAAAAATGAAACAAAAACAACAGATCTCCCCCCCTCAAAACAATAACAACAGCAGAGCAGGAATAAAATATTACTGTCAAAAATATTGACTGGGATATGATTCTTGATTTGTAGGGAAATATGTATGTATGTATGTATAGATGGATGGACGGATGGATGGGTGGATGGATGGATGGACGGGCGGGCGGATGGATGGATGGATGGATGGATGGATAGATAGATACATAGATAGTTTCTGTAATAGTGGAGCACATTTAAATTTCAGTATCCTTTTTTCATATTAAAATGTATCAAATTGATTATATCATCAAAGAGTTGTAACAGAGTTTACGGGTAAATTGTAAACAAGGATAAGACATTAAATAAAATAAAAAATAATATTAAATAAAATAAATAACACAATGGGGCAACAGAATAATTCTACAACAAAAATACTGCCAAAATAGAATGAAAATGGAAGATTTCCACTAAATATTGTAGATTAAAAATAAAACAAAGCACACTACCCTCTGGTTGATGGAAGTTTCAAATTTAAGTCATTGCTACTGAAATATTTTTTAGAAATCTAGGAGATATATGAGTCAAAAAAAGAAAAGAAAAGAAATCTCAGAATAATATCTATAGTACAAACAGGGCTTCAGACACATATCCTCTTTTTTATTTTCTATCAATCTTCATGTTATGCTTTTTTCTCTCTCTCTCATCCTCCACAATTTCTCTCAATTGCAGATTTAAATCAAAACTTTTTCCATTTGGGAACTAAACTATATTGTTCTGCAATTAGAAACA